TGTAAGTTATTCTGCAAAGAGTATGCACTATAAGAAGTGTCATTTATACAACTCTTCACTGGTCAAAACAGCACACAGCTTAGGCAGAGCACTGGGCTGAAAGCCCTGGCATTTGCAATTTGGTCATTTCTTTTGAGCTCTCAGGGATCAGACAACCCCTGGCTAGCTGCCAGACACCCAGACTGTCACTTCTGAATGTTCTAGTCCACTGAAAACTCACTACATTCTTGATGCTTCCAATTACAGTTGAAGAAAATGCCAAGAACTAATGTGGTGTCTTTGGCGGGTCCTCATTGCAAAAACAGTGAGTGTCACACATGAGGGTGTCTGGAAACAATGGGGAGCAATGTTTACTAACAAATCCTAATGCCTCCGCCCAGAACCGAGTTGTATTTAAATGTGTGGTTCAAAGCCTTTAATCCTCCTCTTCCTCATCCTCTTCATCCTCCTCCTCCTCATCTTCCTCTTCCTTCTTTTTCTTGCTCTTTTCAGCTTTGACGACCCCCTTCTTCGCTGCATCGGGTTTTCCTTTAGTTCTGTAGGCAGCAATATCCTTCTCGTACTTCTCCTTCGGCTTGGCAGACGAAGATGAAGAAGAAGATGATGATGATGAATAAGTTGGTTCTAGCGCAGTTTTTTTTCTTGTCTATAAAGCATTTAACCCCCCTGTACACAACTCACTCCTTTTAAAGAAAAAAATTGAAATGTGAGGCTATGTAAGATTTGTTTTTAAACTGTACAGTGTCTCTTTTTGTATAGTTAACACACTACCGAATGTGTCTTTAGATAGCCCTGTCCTGGTGGTATTCTCAGTAGCCACTAACCTTGGCTGGTACAGTCTGGGGGTTGTAAATTGGCATGGAAATTTAAAGCAGGTTCTTGTTGGTGCACAGCACAAATTAGTTACATATGGGGATGGTAGGGGGTTTTTTTGTTTTTGTTTTTTTTTTTTGTTTTATTTTTTTCATCTTCAGTTGTCTCTGATGCAGCTTATACGAAGATAATTGTTGTTCTGTTGACTGAATGCCACTCTGAAATTGCAAAAAAAAAAAAAAAATTGCAGCTGTTTTGGTGACATTCTGAATGCTTCTAAGTAAATACAATTTTTTTTATTTAAAAAAAGCCTCTAATCCTCTAAATACACTAGACAGTTTGCAGATCACAGACTCTAGATCAGTCTCCTGAAGAGATTCCATAGTTGGAGAAAAGCCACAAAACTGGGCGAAAAGTGTGGAAATGCATTTCAGGGAGACGAAGGAAGAGAAGGAAATCCTGCAGATTGCCTGTGTGTTCATTTCTACACTGACCGCCACGCAAAGCATTGGAGGCAGCAAGGGCTGTTTCAGTCAGTAAACACCCGCCCCATTCGTCCATCCTGAAAAGACCCAGGGAAGTATCTCCTAAGAACTTAATTTGAGAGATGAGGATATGGCTCCGTGCAGAAAGAGCTTGCTACACACACGAGGACCTCAGTGCAGGTCCCCTAACCCACACAAAAGCCAGGCATACGTGTGCACGCTTGTAACCCCAGCACTGAGGGGACAGAGACAGGTGGATCCCAGGGGCCTGCAGGGCAGCTGGTGCAGCTGAAATGATGAGCTCCAGGTTCAGTAAGAGACTCTGTCTTGGTGACCATGAGGATGAGGATGGTGGTATAGAGAAATGAAAGAAAAAGTCTTTCTGAAGTCAACCTCTGACCTCTACACTCTTCTGCACAACTGGTTACACACACACAAACACACACACACACACACAATTAAGAATGTCGATCACTGTGGAACATTGCCAGCATGTGTAACTCCCTGGGTCCCTTGGTTGGAGCCCCAGAATTGCAAATAAGTAGAGCAAGAAGGAAGGAAGGAAGGAAGGAAGGAAGGAAGGAAGGAAGGAAGGAAGGAAGGAAGGAAGGAGTTGGAAGGCCCTGCTAGCCAGAGGTTGCAGTCTATCATGGCCTGGCTGCTCTCTCCAAAGCTCAACAACAAGAGGACTCCCTCTCCAGCCCCCAGCCCCCACCCCCCACATCCAGACTTCCTGCTGTCTACCTGCTCTTATCTAAAGAATGTCTCTAGGCCCAGAGGACTGACCTTATCTGAAAGCCATCTCTAAGCCTGGATGCCTGGTTTATCTCTAGCATGACTGTGGCACAGTTCCTGCTAGACTCCTCCCCTGCTGCGCACAAGGTAACTAAGCCCTCTACTAGGAACTTTGCTATAGGGCCCTGCTGCCACATAGGAAGCGTTATGACAGGAGCGTACCACTTAATGCAAATGAGAGCTTGTCCCCAGGCTCCACAATCCTATATATTTCCTATACTCTGGAATAAAGCTGAGCTGATTCACTGAAGTCATCTCCCAGAGGGCTGTCTCCAGCACACCCACAGCCATCCAAACCCTGTTCCTCACTTCTGCTTCTTCCACCCTCGTGGACCAGTGCACTGATGATCCCAAGGAAGGAGAACCACAGAAGGGAGGGGGGGAGGGAGGGAGGGGGGAGGGGGGGAGGGAGGGAGGGGGGAGGGAGGGAGGGGGGGAGGGAGGGAGGGAGGGAGGGAGGGAGGGGGGGAGGAAGGGAGGGGGGGGAGAATGGGAGGGAAGAGGACTTCGGATATCCTAAAACGCATCATAAATGAAGCCATCAAAAGCCTCCAGCACAGATAACAGCTACAGAAGCACCACAAACAGAGGAGAAGTTCAACCCCTTTGAATGCTGTCTCTTCTTGTTCTGAAACATAAAGCTCTCTGCCCGGGGCTCTTCGGCTTCTAAGTTCCATCAGATTTCTTGCTCACCTTTGTTCCTTTCTTAAAACCTCCTTAGCCCAATTTATCAGAGTGGAAAGATCCCACTTCATAATCTACAAAGGAAGAAACACTCACTCACTTGCCAGTCCCTGCACTTGATTCCCAGAACCCATGTCAAAAGGGAGGTACAGGGAGGGAGGCAGAGGCAGGCAGACCCTTGAGCCTTTTTGGCCAGCCAGTCTAGCCCACGTGCATGCACACACAAATAATAAAGGTAATCACCACCTAATTTAATCAAGACAAACAATAAGAACAGCTTAAGTAAAAGTTAACGAAGGAAAAAGGCTGAACAAAGATTAAAGAATACCCAAGATTTAAACGACCGCCAAGATAAGGGAGAACGTTTCAACTAGGAAACCTCAGTCACTTGAGTACAAAGCTAAGGAACACTCAGAGGCATTTACACCTTTACAAAGGACACCTTTTTAAAATGGTCATGAAATGCACACATCAAGCTTACCATCATAATCACTTGACATATACAGTTCAACAGTGTTGAGCATGCTCACATTGTCTGTGCAACTGACCCACTGAAGCCTTGCCACACTGCAAGGCTCATACTCTCAACCAATTCAACAGCTGCTGTGGCATGCCCTCCCACCACGCCCAGCCACTGGCACCACCCATCCACTGTCTATGTCTATGACTTTGACTCCTTCAGGAACTTAATACAAGTGGAGTCAAACACTGGTGATCTTTCATATTTTTTAATTTACACGTGTTTATTCTGTATGTGTGTGTGCTCTCCAGTGTGCACACGCTGCAGTGAATTCTGAAGGTCGGGTGAAAACTTACAGCAATCAATTCTCTCCTTCCACTTGGGTCCAAGTATCAAATTTGGGTGGGCAGACTTGGCAGCAAGCACCTTTATCTGCTGAGCCATCTCACCAGCCCCATGGCTAGACTCTTTGTTTGTTTGTTATCTTTTTGATTTTTCTAGACAGGGTTTCTCTGTTTAGCTTTGGCTGTCCTGGAACTCGCTCTAAAGACCAAGCTTGCCTGGAACTCACAGAAATCCACCTACCTCTGCCTCCCAAGTGCTGGGATTAAAGGCTTGTACCACCACCACCCAGAATTGCTATTGTTTAAAGTGACACTTTTAAACCAGAGGAACTAGTAGCCAAGAGAAAAGGAAATATCTATACCACAGAAGGATAACACAACACAAAGCAGGAAGGGAACAGGGAAGGTCCCAGAACTGAAGATCCAATGATATGATGATCCTAACCATACCATGAGTTATCAGAAATGAAGGTCCTCTTTTCTAAATATCCCTTAGACAAAAACAGAAAAACCTAAGCAAAGACTGGACAGATTGGAACACACTTCAGATTTCCCCAAGTGTAAGTGGCTCCTTTGTATATTAACAGTGGTTTCAGATTCCTCTTTTCCAGTGACCTTCAAAACAGAGACGGGAGCAGCAAGCATCAGTTCCTCTCCCTTTCTGAAGACTTGATATCTTGCTTTTAAGACTAGAAGAGAGAGCTGGTGGAATCTCTCATCTGGTAGTGAGCTTGCCTAGAGACCACGAAGTCCCAGGTTCCGTCCCCAGCCCAAGACAAAACTAAGTGTGGTGACACATGCCTATAATCACAGACCTCGGGAGGTAGAGGCAGGAGGATCAGAAAGGCAAGTGCTTCTTCCGCTATCTAGACTATACCAGACCTTATCTCAAGGTGGGAAGTGGGGCAAGGAGGACCAGAGCTGAATCTTAGGCGTGGATGAGGCATTTGCGGCCTCACCATGGTCCCATGCTAGAACAATCTGAAGCCTTGTCTGGTCATTCTCAGTCAGTATCTGCCTGAATGAGCGTGTCCAACAATACTCACAGGGAAATATATGATTAGCTTTTCTTATCAACTGTGAAGAAAAAAAGGAAAACGCATCAGTTCATCTTAAATTACCAAGAAAGAAATAACCAAATCAAAGAGGGGAGAGCTTCATTAAATGCAAAATCAGTTCTGGTGCTAATGCTAATTTTGACTTTGATAACAATACAAGCAAAAGCTACATGTTGAGAAATGTTCTCTCTCATCACACCGAGGGTTTTAATTACATTCAGTAACCTGGGATACACTCTGACGCTGGGAAATCATGAAGCAAATTGAATGGAATTACATTTTCTGAAGGAATTACCAGCCATCAAAACCTCTCAAAGATTAAAACAGTAATTCTGAAAAGGAAAAAAAAGATATGGGCTCCACCTTATTTTTTCTAATGTCTGACCCAGCCTCATAAAAAGAGCCAGTAGAGTAGGTTCATGGAAAAGAAAGTATCCAATTAGGGATTAACAAAACTGTAACAAGGATTAGGAAATGACAGAGAAAAGGAACACCCTCCTGGTGTGTATATAAGGGCCAAGGGGCAGACTAGAACAGGCCATTTACTCCACCTTTCCCAGTCTCTAGAGACAGCTCAGCACCAGCAGGAGCAGCATGTTTTGCTCAGCTCAGAGAGGCTCCTGCTCCTCCCGAGTCTCCTCTTCCTCGGGGGCTACGGGCAGCAGGGTGTGCTCAGGTGGAAGCCCCTTCAGCAGTGGAGGCAGCTGTGGGCTGGGAGGAGGTTCTTCCTGGGGCTTCCAGGGAAGCAGTGGCAGCTGTGGGCTGGGCGGAGGCTTAGGGAGCGGCATTGGAGGGGGCTTTGGTAGCTGCGCAGTAAAGGGTGGGTTTGGAGCAGTCTCTGGCTTTGGTGGAAGTTCTGGATTTAGTGGGGGCTCTGGCTTTGGTGGGGGCTCTGGCTTTGGTGGGGGTTCTGGCTTTGGTGGGGGCTCTGGCTTTGGTGGGGGTTCTGGCTTTGGTGGGGGTTCTGGCTTTGGTGGGGGCTCTGGCTTTGGTGGGGGTTCTGGCTTTGGTGGGGCCTCAAGCTTTGGTGGGGGTTCTAGTGGAGGCTTCTCTAGCTATGGAGGTAGTATGGGAGGTGGCCTTGGTGGTGTCAGTGGCAGTGATGGGGGCCTTCTCTCTGGAAGTGAAAAGCAAACCATGCAGAACCTCAATGACCGTCTGGCCAGCTACCTGGACAAAGTGCGAGCCCTGGAGGAGGCCAACACTGACCTGGAGACGAAAATCAAGGAGTGGTATGGCAAGCACGGGTCTGGAAAAGGGGAAGCTGGGAGAGACTACAGCAGATACTGGCCAGTCATAGAAGATCTGAAGAACCAGGTGGGACTCCGTAGCTGTGTGCTTATAGACTGGCTTTCACTTTTATTCAGATCGTATACTACGATGAATTTCTGTTTACATTTATTTGTGTGTGTACGTGTGTCCGTCTGTGTGTACAGGGGCGGGCCAGGGGGGACATGCACGCATGCCGTGGCACAGGTGTGGAAGTCAGGGGACAACTCATGGGAGCTGCTTCTCTGCTCCTACCGTTGAGTCCCGGGGCTCAAACTCAGCTCAGACATAGCAGCAAGTGTCCTGACCTGCTGAGCCATCTCAAGGGCTCAGTAATGAAATGTTAAGTCATGTGTGCAAAATGGGTCCTCCTGTATCCTAATTATGGCAGCCCTTTAAATTCTCTCTGAATGTATGACATACAACCACAGTATTCTGTCTGAATCTCAAATGTGAGTATCAGATTCATACAATGATGGATAGCCAACTGACAGGTATATGAGAATGATGGTTAACTCAATGGATAATTAGTGTGACCTAATTACTTCATGACTCATTCTGACAGGTTTGTGCATTTTTGTGTCTTTCCGGATTCATCGTTAGGACTATTCTTCCTATAGAATCTGGTGAAGTGTTGCATAATAAACTGAAAATTTCAGCCATAGTTGTATGAGTCGTATGTTTTTAAGTGAAATTATGTGTTCACATTAGTTCCTTCAGTCTGTGAGGAAATGACTGATCTTCCAAGCAGTAGAAGTAGGCAGAGGACAGCATTCCATAAAGCAGTGTCCTTTGTCTACCCTAATAACTGTGGAAGCTGTTTCCAGTTGCAGAGATCCGTGGTGCTAAGTGTACATGTGCCACGGCTAAGTAAGTCTACAGGCCAACCCCCCTTTAAGAGTTTATGACATAGGAGATGTCAGCCCTCACAGGTAGGTGTCAAAAAAGAAAGATCAGCTAGGATTCAATCTTCCCTCTTTCCTAGATCATTGCAGCCACCATTGAAAATGCCAGGATGGCTCTGCAGATCGACAATGCTAGACTGGCTGCGGATGACTTCAGGATGAAGTAAGACACGCCAAATCCTTGAAAACTCCTACCATAGGGACTAAAACACAGCCCAACTGTTGAGGGCGAAAGCCCTTTGGAGGATCACGACCTAAACTCAGAAATAGACCAGGGGTGAACGTGGATGGTTTTCTTTTATTGTTTTGCTATTTGTTTGGTTTGGGGCGGCGGGGTTAGGGGGGGCGTGGGGGGGGTTGTTGTTTTGTTTTGTTTTGTTTTTAGACAGAGGCTTGTGTAGCCCAGACTGGAGTCAAACTCACTATGGAACTGACGCTGGCCTTGAACTCTTCACCTTCCTGCCTCTAGCTCCAGACTGCTATGTTACAATGGTGAACTCCCACACATGGCTCTCTGCACACACAGCCCTCTGAGCTCATGGCCCTCTGTGCTCACGACCCTCTGCACACACAGCCCTCTGCGCTCATGGCCCTCTGCGCTCATGGCCCTCTGCACTCAAGGCCCTCTGCACTCAAGGCCCTCTGCACACACAGCCCTCTGCACACACTTGTAACCCCAGCACTGAGGGGACAGAGACAGGTGGATCCCAGGGGCCTGCAGGGCAGCTGGTGCAGCTGAAATGATGAGCTCCAGGTTCAGTAAGAGACTCTGTCTTGGTGACCATGAGGATGAGGATGGTGGTATAGAGAAATGAAAGAAAAAGTCTTTCTGAAGTCAACCTCTGACCTCTACACTCTTCTGCACAACTGGTTACACACACACAAACACACACACACACACAATTAAGAATGTCCATCACTGTGGAACATTGCCAGCATGTGTAACTCCCTGGGTCCCTCGGTTGGAGCCCCAGAATTGCAAATAAGTAGAGCAAGAAGGAAGGAAGGAAGGAAGGAAGGAAGGAAGGAAGGAAGGAAGGAAGGAAGGAAGGAAGGAGTTGGAAGGCCCTGCTAGCCAGAGGTTGCAGTCTATCATGGCCTGTCTGCTCTCTCCAAAGCTCAACAACATGAGGACTCCCTCTCCAGCCCCCAGCCCCCCCCCCCACATCCAGACTTCCTGCTGTCTACCTGCTCTTATCTAAAGAATGTCTCTAGGCCCAAAGGACTGACCTTATCTGAAAGCCATCTCTAAGCCTGGATGCCTGGTTTATCTCTAGCATGACTGAGGCACAGTTCCTGCTAGACTCCTCCCCTGCTGCGCACAAGGTAACTAAGTCCAATATTAGGAGCTTTGCTATAGGGCCCTGCTGCCACATAGGAAGCGTTATGACAGGAGCGTACCACTTAATGCAAATGAGAGCTTGTCCCCAGGCTCCACAATCCTATATATTTCCTATACTCTGGAATAAAGCTGAGCTGATTCACTGAAGTCATCTCCCAGAGGGCTGTCTCCAGCACACCCACAGCCATCCAAACCCTGTTCCTCACTTCTGCTTCTTCCACCCTCGTGGACCAGTGCACTGATGATCCTAAGGAAGGAGAACCATAGGAGGGGGGGAGGGAGGGAGGGGGTAGGGAGGGAGGGGGGAGGGGGAGGGGGGAGGGAGGGGGGAGGAGGGGGAGGAGGGGAGGGAGGGAGGGGGGGAGGGGGGGGAGGGAGGGAGGGGGGAAGGGAGGGAGGGAGGAGGGGAGGGAGGGGGGGGAGAATGGGAGGGAGGGAGGGGGGGAGGGAGGGAGGGGGGAGAATGGGAGGGAAGAGGACCTCAGATATCCTAAAACGCATCATAAATGAAGCCATCAAAAGCCTCCAGCACAGATAACAGCTACAGAAGCACCACAAACAGAGGAGAAGTTCAACCCCTTTGAATGCTGTCTCTTCTTGTTCTGAAACATAAAGCTCTCTGCCCGGGGCTCTTCGGCTTCTAAGTTCCATCAGATTTCTTGCTCACCTTTGTTCCTTTCTTAAAACCTCCTTAGCCCAATTTATCAGAGTGGAAAGATCCCACTTCATAATCTACAAAGGAAGAAACACTCACTCACTTGCCGGTCTCTGCATTTGATTCCCAGAACCCATGTCAAAAGGGAGGTACAGGGAGGGAGGCAGAGGCAGGTAGACCCTTGAGCCTTTTTGGCCAGCCAGTCTAGCCCATGTGCATGCACACACAAATAATAAAGGTAATTACCACCTAATTTAATCAAGACAAACAATAAGAACAGCTTAAGTAAAAGTTAACGAAGGAAAAAGGCTGAACAAAGATTAAAGAATACCCAAGATTTAAACGACCGCCAAGATAAGGGAGAACGTTTCAACTAGGAAACCTCAGTCACTTGAGTACAAAGCTAAGGAACACTCAGAGGCATTTACACCTTTACAAAGGACACCTTTTTAAAATGGTCATGAAATGCACACATCAAGCTTACCATCATAATCACTTGACATATACAGTTCAACAGTGTTGAGCATGCTCACATTGTCTGTGCAACTGACCCACTGAAGCCTTGCCACACTGCAAGGCTCATACTCTCAACCAATTCAACAGCTCCTGTGGCATGCCCTCCCACCCCGCCCAGCCACTGGCACCACCCATCCACTGTCTATGTCTATGACTTTGACTAATTCAGGAACTTAATACAAGTGGAGTCAAACACTGGGGATCTTCTATATTTTTTAATTTACACATGTTTATTCTGTATGTGTATGTGCTCTCCAGTGTGCACACGCTGCAGTGAATTCTGAAGGTCGGGTGAAAACTTACAGCAATCAATTCTCTCCTTCCACTTGGGTCCAAGTATCAAATTTGGGTGGGCAGACTTGGCAGCAAGCACCTTTATCTGCTGAGCCATCTCACCTGCCCCATGGCTAGACTCTTTGTTTGTTTGTTGTCTTTTTGATTTTTCTAGACACGGTTTCTCTGTTTAGCTTTGGCTGTCCTGGAACTCGCTCTAAAGACCAAGCTGGCCTCGAACTCACAGAGATCCACCTACCTCTGCCTCTCAAGTGCTGGGATTAAAGGCTTGTACCACCACCACCCAGAATTGCTATTGTTTAAAGTGACACTTTTTTTTTTTTTTTTTTTGGTTTTTCGAGACAGGGTTTCTCTGTAGTTTTGTGCCTTTCCTGGAACTCACTTTGTAGACCAGGCTGGCCTCGAACTCACAGAGATCCTCCTGCCTCTGCCTCCCGAGTGCTGAGATTAAAGGCGTGCGCCACCACCGCCCGGCTTCAAGTGACACTTTTAAATCAGAGGAACTAGTAGCCAAAAGAAAAGGAAATATCTATACCACAGAAGGATAACACAACACAAAGCAGGAAGGGTACAGGGAAGGTCCCAGAACTGAAGATCCAATGATTTGATAATACTAACCATAGCATGAGTTATCAGAGATGAAGGTCCTCTTTTCTAAATACCCCTTAGACAAAAACAGAAAAACCTAAGCAAAGACTGGACAGATTGGAACACACTTCAGATTTCCCCAAGTGTAAGTGGCTCCTTTGTATATTAACAGTGGTTTCAGATTCCTCTTTTCCAGTGGCCTTCAAAACAGAGACGGGAGCAGCAAGCATCAGTTCCTCTCCCTTTCTGAAGACTTGATATCTTGCTTTTAAGACTAAGAGAGAGCTGGTGGAATCTCTCATCTGGTAGTGAGCTTGCCTAGAGACCACGAAGTCCCAGGTTCCGTCCCCAGCCCAAGACAAAACTAAGTGTGGTGACACATGCCTATAGGCAGGAGGATCAGAAAGGCAAGTGCTTCTTCCGCTATCTAGACTATACCAGACCTTATCTCAAGGTGGGAAGTGGGGCAAGGAGGACCAGAGCTGAATCTTAGGCGTGGATGAGGCATTTACGGCCTCACCATGGTCCATGCTAGAACAATCTGAAGCCTTGTCTGGTCATTCTCAGTCAGTATCTGCCTGAATGAGCGTGTCCAACAATACTCACAGGGAAATATATGATTAACTTTTCTTATCAACTGTGAAGAAAAAAAGGAAAACGCATCAGTTCATCTTAAATTACCAAGAAAGAAATAACCAAATCAAAGAGGGGAGAGCTCCATTAAATGCAAAATCAGTTCTGGTGCTAATGCTAATTTTGACTTTGATAACAATACAAGCAAAAGCTACATGTTGAGAAATGTTCTCTCTCATCACACTGAGGGTTTTAATTACATTCAGTAAATGGGGTACACTCTGACGTTGGGAAATCATGAAGCAAATTGAATGAAATTATATTTTCTGAAGGAATTACTAGAAATCAAAACCTCTCAAAGATTAAAACAGTAATTCCGAAAAGGAAAAAAAAAAAAAAGATATGGGCTCCACCTTATTTTTTCTAATGTCTGACCCAGCCTCATAAAAAGAGCCAGTAGAGTAGGTTCATGGAAAAGAAAGTATCCAATTAGGGATTAACAAAACTGTAACAAGGATTAGGAAATGACAGAGAAAAGGAACACCCTCCTGGTGTGTATATAAGGGCCAAGGGGCAGACTAGAACAGGCCATTTACTCCACCTTTCCCAGTCTCTAGAGACAACTTAGCACCAGCAGAAACAGCATGTTTTGCTCAGCTCAGAGAGGCTCCTGCTCCTCCCGAGTCTCCTCTTCCTCGGGGGCCACGGGCAGCAGGGTGTGCTCAGGTGGAAGCCCCTTCAGCAGTGGAGGCAGCTGTGGGCTGGGAGGAGGTTCTTCCTGGGGCTTCCAGGGAAGCAGTGGCAGCTGTGGGCTGGGCGGAGGCTTAGGGAGCGGCATTGGAGGGGGCTTTGGTAGCTGCGCAGTAAAGGGTGGGTTTGGAGCAGTCTCTGGCTTTGGTGGAAGTTCTGGATTTAGTGGGGGCTCTGGCTTTGGTGGGGCCTCTGGCTTTGGTGGGGGCTCTGGCTTTGGTGGGGATTCTGGCTTTGGTGGGGGTTCTGGCTTTGGTGGAGGCTCTGGCTTTGGTGGGGGTTCTAGTGGAGGCTTCTCTAGCTATGGAGGTAGTATGGGAGGTGGCCTTGGTGGTGTCAGTGGCAGTGATGGGGGCCTTCTCTCTGGAAGTGAAAAGCAAACCATGCAGAACCTCAATGACCGTCTGGCCAGCTACCTGGACAAGGTGCGAGCCCTGGAGGAGGCCAACACTGACCTGGAGACGAAAATCAAGGAGTGGTATGGCAAGCACAGGTCTGGAAAAGGGGAAGCTGGGAGAGACTACAGCAGATACTGGCCAGTCATAGAAG